ACTTGCTCCTTCCTCCTTGGTCTACTTCTTCCTGCTTTCCTTTTTCTCCATTCCTCCCAGGATCTTGGTATCAGCCCACCATAGCAATTTACTACAGCATTAGGAGCTCTGATGGTGTAGTGGTTAACGCATTTGACTGACAACAAAAGGTCAATGGTTCAAACCCTCTAGCTACTCTGCAGGAAAAAGATGAGGTAATCTCCTTCTGTAAAGATTTACAGCCTTGGAAAAACTTTTGGGGCAGGTCTACTCTGCCTTATAGGATCACTATGAATTGGAAACTGCTCAATGACAGTAGGATTGTTTTGGTTTTGGATTGGCTATACCTGCTTGCCTGCATCTCACATTCTTCAGAGAGGAGCATCTACAAAATGAACTCCTGTTTTACTAGTATAGAAGCATAGCTGTCATTCATTATTATACGAAAAGACCCTTTCCTATGGAGAGATTAGTGTGGATAGGGTAAAAGAGATCTAGAGGATGGAGTATCCCATCCTTTTCCAACAGATTTGAGAAAGGGGTAGAATAAAAAGGATGATGAGCACAAGCAACCCCATTCTGTTACAAATATCCAGTTGCTGTCGAATTGATCCCAACCCATGGGGACCCCCTGTGTGTCAGAGTAGAACTGTGCTCCACAGGGTTTTCAATGGCTGATATTTCATAAGTAGATCACCAGGCCTTTCTTCTTAGATGCTTCTGGATAGACTCAAAATGCCAACCTTTGGGTTAGCAGTTAAATTAGCTAACCATTTGCCCTCCTAGTTGTTGTTACGTATTATTGAGTCAATTCCAACTCATAGTAGCCTTATAGGATGGAGTAGAACCGCCCCACAGGGTTTCAAGGCTGTAATCTTTATGGGAACAGATCACCAAGTCTTTTTTCCTGTGGAGTGGCTGGTGGGTTCCAACCATCAGCTTTTGGTTAGCAGCCAAGCACCTGACCATTGAGCCACCAGGGCTCCTGTGAGACTCTTGCAATTACGTTGCTCTCATTTTCTTATCTTTGTAACGGTTTTCATCTTCTGACATTTTCTTTCTTATGTATTTATTTGCTTATCAGCCATTTCCCTCCCATTAGAATTCAGTGCACATTCCAAGAGTGTGGGGACCTGTCTGTTTTGTATCCACCACATCCCGAGTATCTGGCAGAAAACAGGCACCTAATATACATTTACTGTATCAACTATTCCAAGAGCTCTTCTTACTGTGTGGAAGGACTTCCACCAGGGTAACGATCCTGGACTCTCACCCTCTGATTTCTCACCCTACAAAGCAGGAACAACTTTTATGACTCATGAGTGAATATGTAAGTTCATGGATGTCAGCTGTGAAGAGCTCCTTAGCAATTCTCTCACTGTGCTTCCCTTTCCAAATTTACTGGTTCAAGACAGAACATCCTAGTATGTCTACAGAACACATGCAGAGCTACAGGGTTGCCTGCCCCAGAGGACATCGTTGACATTGGGCTACACACACACACACACACACACACACACACATGCTCCCTGGTCTGCCTTCTGCCTCTTAAGTATCCCAGCTGGGAGCCTGATGATTTTCTGTTGTGCAAGTGGCAAGGTGGGCAAATCCAGCTTATTACCAAAATATTAAACACACACATCTAAGTCACTCTGTTCAAGCCTGAGGTTAGCAACAGTAAAGCTAATATTTTGAAGTCCATCTGTCCAAGTCCTCTATTCTCAGTTGGTTCCACAGTGTCTTCTTTCTGCCTTTCTTAATTACTATGCCTTTGCTTCTAGGTCTACTTACCAACCATCTATCCGTAATATTTTAGAATACACTTACATTTTGAACACAGTGATGTCATAATTATAAAGTACCAGGACTTGCATGAACTCTTGCTTAGTTTTAAGAACAAAATGGCAGCTGTGAAAATAGATGAAGTAATTAGAAGAAGAATGTTTCTGGAGGCATCAAAATATTTTTTAAAAAGTAATTAGTACTAATTAGCAATAATGTTCTGTTCTCAGAAATTACACTTAAATGGGGAAAAAGGACAAAGAAAGAAATCTGTCATTCAGTGGTGAGTCACTGGACTTCCTAATGCAAGTTTCATATTCAGTGAAATGATGGTTTGGAATTATGTTGTCGTTAGGTACCATTGAATTGGTTCCAACTCAAAGCAACCCTACATACAACAGAACAAAACACTGCCCAGTTTTGCACCATCCTCATAATCATTGCTATGTTTGAGCCATTGTTGCACCCACTGTGCCAATTCATCTCATTGAGGATCTTACTCTTTTTCACTGACCCTCTACTTTACTAAGCATGTCCTTCTCCAAGAGCTGGTACCTCCTGAAAACTTGTCCAAAGCACCTGAGAAAAAGTCTCAACATCCTCTTCCAAGGACCATTCCGGCTGTACTTCCTCCAAGGCAGATGTGTTCATCCTGGTAGTCCATGGTGTACTCAGTATTCTTTGCCAACACCAGAATTCAAATGCATCAAATCTTTTTGATCTTCCTTATTCATTGTCCAGCTTTCACATGCATATGAGTCAATTGAAAAATATCATGGCTTGGGTCAGGTGCACCTAAGTCCTCAAAGTAACAGCTTTGCTGTTACTTTGGCATAGTAATTAAAATATTTAGTTGGTAATCAAAATGTCAGTGGTTCAAACCCACCAGCTGCTCTGTGGGAGGAAGTTAAGGCAATCTGCCTCCATAAAGATTCACAGTCTCGGAAACTCTAAAGGGCAGCTTTACTCCATCCTAAAGGGTCACTATGAATCAGAATCAACTCGATGGCAATGGTTTGAGGTTTTGCAGCAGTTGTCCCCAATGCTATATTTGATTTCATGACTGCTGCTTCCATGAACGTTGATGGTGGATCCAAGTAAAAAGAAATTCCTGACAATGTCAGTATTTCCAAACATGATATTTCTTATTGGTCTAGTTGTTAAGATTTTTGTTTCCTTTATGTTGAAGTGTAATCAATACTGAAAGTGATAATCTTTGATCTTCATCAGTAAGTGCTTTAAGTCCTCTACACTGTCAGCAAGCAACATTGTGTCATTTGCATATGACAGGTTGTTACTGAGTCTTCCTTCAATCCCGATGCCTCATTCTTCTTCATATAGTCCAGCTTCTTGGATTATTTGCTCAGCATACAGATTGAATAAGTATGGTGAAAGGATATATTCCTGATAGACATATTTCTTGATTTTAAACCATACAGCATCCCCTTGTTTTGTTCAAACAACTGCCTCTTGGTCTATGTATAGGTTCCTCATGACTACAGATAAGTGTTCTGGAATTCCCATTCTTTGCAATCATTTGTTGTGATTCACACAATCAAATACCTTTGCATAGTCAATAAAACACATGTAAACATTTTTCTAGTATTCTCTGATTTCAGCCAACATCCATCTACATCAGCAATACCCTTCATTCTACGTCCCCTTTGAAATAGGGCTTGAATTTCTGGCAGTTCTCTATGTACTGCTGCAATCATTTTTTTAAGCTATCTTCAGGAATTCAGAGCAGAGCTGAACAATTTCCTAGGACTGACTTTTCCAGAATGCTGTTCTTCTCTTCCTGAGAAAAATACCCAAAGTGCTTCCTCCTCCATTGTTTAACTTATTTTTCAATATAGTACATATCTGTTTATAGGTATCGATTCTAATTGTTCAAAAGCAAAATAAGCTCCTTAAAAAAAATAATAGTCCCAGTTTTGCTTTGAGTTGATCTATTTTTCCAACAGAGCTAAGGAAGAGGTTTCCAACTAAAACAGATAATTAGTGAGTAATCAAGACAGCTGAAATGGGGTGTAGGCCTGGACATTGAATGTGTGTCCTGAGCACATTCTCAGTTTCCAAGTGGAGCCGGGTTAAACTCAGAGTGCAAGTTGCTCAGAATCAAGGACCAATTTTTAAGGGCCCCCAAGGTGCAGAACTGTCAAGGTCTACCGGCTTAGGAAAGGTCTGAGCACACAATAAGTATTGATTAGTTAGTCTCTAAAAACTTTCAAAGAGGGGCAACAGATTACTCTGAGATTTCAGTAACTAAGAGATCTGATTATTGTAGGTCCCGGATCTGACTATGACAGCGAATATACCTTTAAATTGTTTTTGAATTAATCCTTTGGGGGCTGAGTTTTTAGTTCATCTAATTTATTAGCAAATTGTAACCAACCATGCCAGTTGCCATACAGTTTATTCTGACTTATGGTGAGCCCATGTGTGTCAGAGTGGAACTGTGCCCACAGGATTTTCAATGGCTGACTTTTCGGAAGGCTATCACCAGGGCTTTCTTTCAAGGCACCTTTGAGTAGGTTCCACCTCTTACTTGTAGGTTAGCAGCTGAGCAAGTTACTGTTTGTACCACCTTAAAAAAAAAAAAAAAAAAAAAAAACTTCACTGCCGTGGAACTGATTCAACTCACAGTGACCCCTCCTTGGGTTTCTGAGGCAATATCTCTACAGAAATAGATTGCCCAGTCCTCCTTCCAAAGAGTGTCTGGTGGATTTGAACCACCAGCCTTCTGGTTAACAGTCAAATGCCTTAGGCACTAGGCCACCAGAGCTCCCTTGCACCACCTAGTGGGCCTGAAATCCTTACCTATTTCATTATTTATATGCTAGATTTTATCACTTTATCTAGTTAAAATGTGCATATGGTCAAACAGATCAAACAATTATGTAAGTATTCTTTTTGAAATGTTTATCCTAAAAGTTTACTTACTCAATCTCATATTATTGCTTATATTTTTAATTTAAGAATAATTTTTGACCCACATAGGAATATACATGTCATAAAATTGACATTCAAAAATATTTTTTAAGGCTTTGATGCGTTCTATCAAAACACGTGTTAAATAAAGTACTCCAAGGTCATTGTTCCTGATTATGTGCACAGCCCGCCCTCTAGTGTATGTTTCCAAAGCCTACCCAGTTTTAAATCATTCTTAATCTCAAAATATTAGGTTAATAGGATTAAGAACTGTGTCATCAAATTATTAGAAGAAGGCTAAATCCTTGACACTGATTGAAATCAGATCAGAAAAAACTGCAGGCCCTTCCAGAAGCTCTCAGCAACTTCACTGGGGAAATATTGCAAAGTGAGTGGTAAATATACTACATTGAAAAGTTTCGTTGGTAAACAGGGTCTTAATAAAAAGAAAAAAGTTAGCTCACATGATGTACATAAAATGTGATAAGTTTGTAACTACAAGTACAGATGTTATTTTATAAAGTCCCTGGATGCGCTTGTTATTATGAGACATTCCAAATGTTAGTTAACTAATGGAGCTGTTTTTCACTTTTGTTTATTCAAATTACCAAGTAAATAACCCCCTTGGAGTTATTTTATAGATTTAACTTCATTAAAACATAGCTGTTTGCATTTATTTAATTTTTCTTAATGTTTTAAACATTTGCATTTGAAGTGTTTATAACCAATGTAAATCAAATTAAGTGTATAAGGAAATCCATTATCTGAGAAGAAAAAAATTTAACTGTGCACTGTTCATAGCTTGATGGGTTTTCTAAGAGGTATGAGGAAAAATGTGTGAGGCTGTTTTTGCTTTCATTTACAAAAGAAAAAAAGAAAATAGTGAGCCATCTAGTGAAAAGACTCTGAATTCTGAAGGGAAAATAATCCCTGTGACATGATTTTAACTGACTCTGTATTTAGGGATTTTACGGTTGACATGCAAATAGCATGAAGATTGGCCTCCGTGTGTCTGTGATCCATACTGCTCATTGCCTTCAATTTCAGGTCTTGGAGACTATAGTAATACTTGAGATGATGATCTTATTTAACTGTCATAAAGAATGTAAATTAATAGGAGCTTTTTTTTTTTTTCTTTAACTTATATTTCAAGCTTCCTAATGTTCCAGGCACATTAGCATAAGTTGTCTAAAGTCAAAAAGAAAAATGTTTTGGGAGCTCCATGTGTTTTCCATTGATGCAGGCAGAAAATAACATAATGGAAGGCATTTGATGAGGTTTATTTTTCCTTTGCAGTAACAGTGGGAACATGAAGCCGCCACTCTTGGTGTTTATTGTGCATCTGCTGTGGTTGAAAGACTGTCACTGTGCACCTACTTGGAAGGACGAAACTGCTATCAGTGGAAACCTGAAGAGTATGTTTGCTCTCTTTATCTGGGCTGTGTCCTGTTTGTATGCCCTGTTGGCATTTACAGTGATTTACAGTTGAGAGATAAGTGCATTCATGACAACCCTTGTGTTGCACGGTAAAATGTTCTCTAGGCACTTAAACCAAGTATACGTGACGCCAAACATCTGGATAAAAATAGAAAATTCCAATCAAGTATCTCAGAATGTTCACATAGCCAGATGTTTGCTATCATGCAGATAAAACTTGCCAACTTTTTTGACTGCTTTTTTTTTTGTATCATCCAGATGTTTGGTTTCATCTAAGCACAGTTTTAATGAACAGTGAAATACTTTTCTAGTATTTCAAACATTTAAACAATTAATCTGTGCAATTATTCTTAAACAGTGAAAGAATGGATTATAATTACACTGAATGTAGTTGCTCTGTGATCATTAACTGGTGACCTTTGTTTAATGATATGTGTTTGGGGCACTAAACACTTAAAAATAAATGAGCTGAAGTGCAGCCGATTGTTGTTTGCCATAGGGCCCATTCTGACTCATGATGAGACCCCGTGTATGCAGAGTCGAGCTGCTGCATAGGGTTTTCAAGGCTTTTAGAAGCAGATCACCAGGTCTGTTTTAGGAGGCACCTCTGGGTGGAGTCCTTGTAGCTGATTATTGTTGTCAGGGGCCATCAAGTTGATTTGGTCTCATGGAGACCCTGTGTGACAGAGAACTGTCTCATAGGTTTTCTTGCCTGTAATCCTGATGGAAGCAGTTGTTGTGGAGCTACTGGGTAGGTTTAAACATCTAACCTTCAGTTAACAGCTGAGCACATAACTGTTTATGCCACCAGGGCTCTTTTGTGGCTGCTCAGGAATCTGTAATTAAATTTAGAGGCAAGAATAAGCTCCACTAGCTGTTGTGAAAAGAGCATGACAATGAATTTCATGCCCACTAAATGCTTGTTGGAGTCCCTAGGTAGTACAAATGGTTAAGCACTGGACTACTAACAGAAAGGTTGCTGATTCAAACCCACCCAGAAGCACAGCAGAAGTAAGGCCTGGCAATCTGCTTTAGAAAGGTCACAGCCCTGAAAACCCTGTGGAGCAGTTCTACTCAGGACACATGGGGTCACCATGAGTGGGAATTTACTTGATGGCAACCGGCAACAACAACAAATGCTTATTGAAGTCCCTGGGTGGTGCAAATGGCCAATGCGCTTAGCTGCTAACCAGAAGGCTGGAGATTCGCCTCCACGCAGCAGCTCCTCACAGGGAAGGTCTGGCGAACTGCTTCTGAAAAATCAGCCTTTGAAAACCCTCTGGAGCACAGTTCTGCTCTGACGCACGTGGGGCTGCCACGAGTTGAGGTCTACTCCACAGCAACTGGTTTCAAGGCTTATGAGAGGTGAGGATGAGATGTCTGCTAGGTTATTATGGACCCCTGCCTTCTCTGAGATACTTTCTGAATTTGATGGCTCTTTGGAAGGTAATTGAAGCATCAAAAGCCGAGGAAATTTTTCACTGTGTTTGAGGTCCCCAGTTGGCATATAACATAAATGTTTGTGAAGGAAATTCTAAATTATCTCTAATATAAACACACTTGAGTCTTAAGTGAAAGGGGGAAAGAAATGGGTAAATTAAAACAGGACCTAAGGAAAACGACAAGAATGAAGTTAAATTGCTCTGCCTTGTTAAAGAGCTCAGAGCTAAGGAACAGAAGGCCCCAGCCATGTGGCAGCTGCACTCATTTGAAGTTGACAGCCAAAAGATTATTGGAGTTTGATATTATAAAAGAAAAATTAAGCCTCTAATAAGGGAATGTCTTGGTTCTCTAGTGTTGCTATAATAGATATATCACAAATGGATGGTTTAACAAATAGGGACTTATTCCTTTCCAGTTGAGGAGGCTAGACGTCTGAGTTCTATGTGTCAGCACTAGGAACTGGGTGAAGGTCCCTCAACCTTGGGCTTCAGCTCTGCCTCCTGTTCCAGGCCCACTAGAGCTGGAGACTTTTCCTGATTCATGCAGCTGCTGGCTGCTGAGGCTGACAAACCCAAGATCGACAAGTACAATGGCACAGCCCCAAGATTAACAGACAAGAAGTCAGGCCAATAGTTCAAGTCTAGGGACAATCCCAAGATCAGCAGGCAACATGGCAGGCCACTGAGATGAAGACTTGGGCAAATGCAGGATCCAGATGTGCCAAAAGCTAGAGACCGTTTCTGAAACTTCTCCTTATATACTGGAAGTAGACCACACCCCAAAAGCAGCTCGCTAGCTGATCATAGCAGATTCCACCACGAAGGTGATTATAATCTCATCATGGGGAATAACTCCATCAGCACCTGCCCAGCTGCTCAAAACCATGGTGCAGCCAAGTTGACACACGACTTTAACTATGACAGGGGTCATGAAAAATTGGTGAACTTTCTGCTTTGTAATCTGATCAGATACCAGAGACAAAACTAACATATCTTTTAGGTTTTTCTGAGTCTGGAGAGACGGAGGAAGATGAAGAGGTGAAGACGGCTTTGATTGGGATTAAGCAGATGAAAATCATGATGGAAAGACGAGAGGAAGAACATACTAATCTAATGAAAACCCTGAAGAAATGCAGAGCAGAAAAGCAGGTACAGTCATTGTAAATTATATCTGTTCCCAAACATATCTGGACTAAATATTTGGCACTTATTAGTGCAATTGATGAACAGCTGATTTCCCCTGATAATAAGTTTTCTGGACAGCAACCTTTATTGGGAGAAAAGTTTGAAGGAAACTTCAAATTTCCTTGAAGAACATATTCCTTGTAGAATGAGCCTTTGTAGGGTATGGAGTGGACCCTAAATCCAGGAATTTGGGGGATTCATTTCTGAGAAGTGCTGCTTTCTCAAAATACTTCATTATAACTAGTCTCCTCTGAGTTAAAATATTGAGGCTAATGTGTTTGGGAGATTTGGGCTAGATCAACACAACACAACACACTCCTGTTGAGTTGGATATGACTCATAGCGACCCTTCCTTGGGTTTCTAAGGCAGTATCACTATGGAAATAGATTGCCCAACCTTCCTTTTGAGGAGTGGCTGGTGGGTTTGAACTGCTGGCTTTTGGGTTAGCAGTCAAATGCCTTAGGCACTACACCACCAGAGCTTCTTTGACTAGATCAGTGATCTCCAATTTTTTTTTTTTTTTTAATCTCACATCCCTATTACTAAAAGAATTATTAGGATTTACTTATTAATTAATTGATTGGTTTAATTATTAGCATTTATTTATTTATAAATTACATATATGAATTGCTATCATCTGTCCAACTAGGGTAGATGTAAGTCCATATTTCCAATAATCTTCTAGACATTTTGAAATTTTCAGCCAATTTGCCCATTCTGATCAGATCATGTTTTTACTTTGTCATGTGGCCAAAAAAGAGCTCATCATAGAGACATGTCAGCTCTACCACTTGGCTCTTGTCCATTTGAGTTTAAATATTTTTGTATTTTTTTTCAATCTGACAAGATTTTTCACAGGAACCTTTCCAAGCTTCCTGTCTATTTTGTGAGAGTTGACATTGGTTGGTTCCATGGTAGAATTAATTCTTCTATTTCATGGGGAATAACCAGGTTTGATTCCCGGCCAATACACTTCATGTGCAACCGCCGCTCATCTATCAGAGGAGGCTGGCATGTTGCCGGAATGCTGAGCAGGTGTTGGCGGTGCTTCCAGACTGAGATGGAGTCGGGAGAAAGGCCTGGTGATCTCCTTCTGAAAAACCAGCCATTGAAAACCCTGTGGATCACAGTTTTACTCTCATACACATGGGGTTGCCATGAGTCAGGAGTTGACTCACTCCAACTAAGAACAAAACATTTTAGTGAAAACCCGATACTAAATATTATCAATCCACCTGAGTCTCCTTAAAGGGCAATTTATTGCAATCACCTGCAAGTGAGGAAAGACTGCCAATGCTTCTGGATTGTGGAGGGTCCTCTCTTCCCCAAGATTCATGCATGTAGTTGGCCACATGCAATTATCTGACAGAAATACCTCAAGAGAACACCAGTATATTAAATGATACAATAGCCTGGTCTTTATTATTATTATTATTATTAATTTAAAAAGCACAAAAGGAAGTTCTAATATTTCCTTTCTGTGCCCCAGTGTACATGCACCTCAGTTGGGGGCCACTAAGTTCTAGAAAGCTTCTTGAATTCTCCTCCCTTCTGAGCATCACAGCTTTGGGAGTCCATTAAGCAATTGGGATAGGGCCCACTGACAGGCTGACCCTTGAGTTGCATGCTGGCCTGTCACCAGACCAGCTGATGTTGCTGCCACACCTACCACCCTGGGGACAGGCAGGGTTCCTGGAAAGGAAAGGAGACTGCCTGACCAGCAGCTGCAAGCCCTCCTCCTTTGGGCAGCAATCAAAAAATTTTGAGGAAATAAAAAATAGCTCCTTATCAGGAAAATGTAGAAGCCCCCCAGAGCTAGGTTCATCCCTAATAGACTTGTGAGTCTTGCCAGATGGGAATAATGACACCAGACGTCATTTATAGCCTTTTACAAAACATAGTATCACATTGAATCCTTCCAACATCTGGGTAAATCAGTGTTTTCATTTTACAGCTAAGGAAACTGAGGTTTGAGATATTAATTGATGTGTTACCCCCACACTGTCATGAATGAAAGGGGAGAAAGTTGGCAGATGTTGTGCACATGGGATCCAGAGACTGTTTCCCACTTTCTCAAGCCTCCTTGCAAGCCAAGAGTGTAGTACTATGAAAAGAATTGGGGGAGGCGGAGGTGTCAAATAAATTAGCATTGAATTTAGTTCTGACCTTGAAGAATCCCAGAAATCAGGAGAATTTTCATTATTTCTTTAAAAAAATGTGTAAAAATTTGTTGAATTATACACTTAAGGTTTGTTTTAAGCACTCAATTAAAAAGTTAATTTTAAAAAATATATTTAACTTTGAATGCCCTCCCTAAAGTTACTTTAAACCTAGAATAAAGGTCAATTTAGACCAATTATGAATTGGCAAATATGGTGTTGGTGCCCCAAGTCTCCCAGTACTGAGCCTGGCATCCTCAGGTATCATCATGTTCCCCATCCTCACCTTCTCCCTATTAGTATTTAGTGAGAGCATCTGAAACTGCTCTTAATGAAGTGAGAAACCCTGGACCAGCTTAAAGCGATTTGCCTCCACACCGGATTTATATGGTATTTTGATAAGCTTTGAACTATAGGCATACCTCGGTTTATTACACTTCACAGATAAAGCATTTTTTTTATAGACTGAAGGTTTGTGGCAATTCTGCGTGGAATGAATCTATTGTAGGCATTTTTCCAACAGATGGGTTTACTTCATGTCTCTGTGTCACATTTTGGTAATTCTCACAATATTTCAAACTTTTCATGATGCTATCGCACACTTAACAGACTATAGTGTAAACTATACTTTAGCTGCACTGGGAAACCAAAAAATTAGTGTGTGACTCGCTTTATTGTGTGGCCTGAAACTAAACCTGCAACATCTCTGAGTATGCCTGTATGTATGTATTAGAGTCCTAATAATGAAGTCTGTCAATGCTGGGATATTTAGGGGAAAACAGAAGGACTAGATGGGACAGTCTTAAGCCAGACATCTGTTTCATACATGGCAACATGGTAGGCCCAAGAGTTGGGATCTATGTAAGTGGTTTTTTTCATGTTTTGGGGGACAGGTGAAAGGAAATCTGAGAGATAATAATAAAAATAATAATTTGCTAGGTGCCTAGCTTGCTTATCTCACTTAAAACAAAAATTTAAGAGGTATCATATTGTGATTCCGGTAAGACTGAGGTTTAGGGAGGTTAAGTAATTTGCCCACAGATACACTGTTAGTGTCATTTGAAGTTGGAAATATTGGGATTTTTGGTTTATGATGACAATGAGCACAGTATTTACAATTGGGACTAATGGAGAAAATCTGGAAGGCATTGGTGAGGCAACATTTCTGGAGAAAACATAGGATTCCTAAATTATTCTGTAACGCCCAAGGAGACAAAAAAATCTTCTCGGGTCAAAGGGTGCATGTGGTGTCCTGCCAATTTTCTTATACCAGCCATAGCAAATGCCACCTGGCTTAGGATCAGGACACTGTACAATGAGATCCGCTGAAAACCGAGCCCAGCAGAGATGTGGAAGATTGTCAGTGGGACCGATTATTCAGGCTTAATATCCCAGGGGAGGGTGATTTTATTCTCCCCCTTTTCTGTTAGCTAAGAATGCACAATAAATTAGTTTTAAGTACAGAGATTTTTCTTCCTAAAGCGATATTCTTTTAGGGGACTTGCCTTTAGCCCTTGAAGATGTCTTCTTATAAAACCTGGACATTATTATAGTGTAAATGTTTAACACATTTGGATGCTAACTAATGGAAAGGTTGTGCATTGAGTCCACCCAGAGGCTCCTCTGAGAAAGGCTTGGAGGTCTACTTCCAAAACAGTCAAGACAGTGCAAACCCTGCAGAGCACAGATAGTTCTACCCTGACATACATGGGTCAAGTCGGAGTAGACTGGACAGCAACTAGTTTTCCCTTAACTAGGTTCAGGCAGGGACAGAGCCTGTCTTTGGTTTAGCAGAAAAGCCAGGGATCTAGGGTGGGACAGAAAAATAAGTCTGTTCTGTCCTTGTTGGGGCCTCGAGGAGAAAACCCCGGCGAGGGGGCAGGCTGTGGTTCTTTGGGGAAGAAATTCCCTTGTGCTGGGCTCCTGACCAGGAGCTCTGGTGGTGAGGTGCCTAAGGCATTTGACTGCTAACCAGAAGACAGGCGGTTCAAACCCTCCAGCCATTCCTCGGAAGGAAGGTTGGGCAATTTACTTCGGTAGTGATACTGCCTCGGAAACCCAAGGAGGGGCCGTTATGAGTCGGATCCGACTCGATGGCAGTGAATTTGGTTTTTTGGTTTGGGCTCCTGACCACCCAGAGCCATGGTTGGCAAAGCAAACAAGGCACCACCAGGGGGCGTGCTCGGAATGCTGACAAGAAGAGCAGCATGTGAGAGTACAGCGTCTTTACAGTTAGAACGTAACTCAGTGGAAAAATCTGATTTGACATACAAGGATTAAGTTTTATTGCAATGTTTCAGAACATACAAAAATTAATGGCAGCACAAATAAGCGAAATAGGCTGTGAGCTATTCAAGCCTTAAAACCCACCTCCCACCTCCCCTCCTCCCCAGAGCATGTGAAGGTTATGTGGATGTGATAAGCCGATGGATGAGATGCGTTCCTCCAGAGCAGGAGCCACGTCTTCATTGAGGATTCACGCACATCTAGTGTAATGTCTGTCACGTAGCAAGCTCTCAATGAACACTTGTTGAATGAATAAATTAACACATAAATAAGATGTGCAGAGTCTTCAATAGGGATCAATCAGTGCTATTAGTCAAACAGAAGGCTTTGGAGTATATCTGTCAGCTGCTGAAGAAGAAAGGCTGGAAAAATGATTTAGAATATGCCTTTTTTAAAAAAAGGGAAATCAACTAAGATACACATAAAATTATGAAATGGAAACAGAATGTTTGTTTCTACTTCTTAATTAGGAGGCTTTGAAACTTATGAATGAAGTTCAAGAACATCTGGAAGAGGAAGAGAGGCTATGTCAGGTGTCTTTAACAGATTCATGGGATGAATGCAAGTCTTGCCTGGAAAGCAACTGCATGAGATACTATACAACCTGCCAACCTAGTTGGTCCTCCATAAAAAGTATGGTAAGAGAAAAATAGAGCTCCAGATTTCAGAATTCTTAAGGCACCTCATTCAGTTTATCTTTATTATTATTATTAATTTGTATTAATATTTAAAATTAAGACAACTAATTTGATATTGGCCTTTGGCAATCTAGAATCTAATGTTCATAAGATCACCTGTGTATACACAATGTACAAGGTAGAACATCCATTCAGTGTTTACCCTTCCTTTTAATGACACTGCATGTATCATTCTGAGAAATACCCTGTTTTTTGGCCTTGCATTTGTTATTTGTAAACACATTCCCTGTAGATTGTAAGCTGTTTGAGAGCAGGGGTCACATTTTATTTGTCTTTGAGCGTTGAAGGTATTCAATAAATGTTTGTTGAACTGCATGCTAAATAATAGTATTACCGTCTGTGATTTCAACATACTTTAATTTTTTTCCCCTGAAGGCCAAACATTTGAAGACATTCTCTGCCTCCTTCATCTCTCCTTCAATGCACTTGACCGGTTATATGTGGTACACATGCACACACACACACACACATCACTTTTAACCCTGTGCACATATGTAGTACAAGACTGGCATGGTTTCTTTTTTGTCACCTATTCTCTAGCTATCCTCTGGACATAAGGAATCGCAGTGGGTGGTGACCTGCACAGGCCGAGCTCTGCTCCATAAAAGGCTCCAATTCTATTGGTCTATATTTTGTGTTTCCTTCGAGAAGTGAGCTGACTATGGAACCGAGTGAATTTTTACTCTCCATGTTAGAGCATGCACTAATTAGAATAGACTCCTAGCTTGGCAGTGCCATGCCCAATTACAAAGGAAGCAACTTGTAGGATAATTGATATACTAAGGTAATTTGCCTCCACTGATAGTTGCATCTGTTCTATTTTTATAGCCCTTGTCACTATTTAGTGTATCAGAATATAGTAGACAGCATTGGCTAGAAGTCAAGAGATTTGGGGCCATTCCCAGTTGTATCAATTGTGTGACCATATGAACATATGGTCCATTCCTTGGGATTTAAAATTTTTTTTGTGTGTGGATGGAGTCAGGTGAACAAGCTGGCAGAGGGAGAGGCAGACAATTTATCCAGATAATTTTTTTGAGAAAGGCATAGTCCTGTAAGAGTTCCTGAACTGCATTGGGAAGCTACAGCACTGACGCTTCATGGCTGATATGTTCAAGCACACTCAGCATGGCCACATCACTAATGCATAAGGGCAACTATGTTCTGGCCTGGGCTCAGGTGCTCATAGATGAACAGAACATCCTGTAACTGCCAGCAAGTCTTCTCCCCCTGAAGTGATACCTGAAATCCTACAATTAGTTCTTTTGACTATAGCCAAGGAGAGCAGTGACCACTGGTAATATGTACTATTCCTGAAAAGATCAATGTGAATGTATTGATCTTTCCTTCTTGAGACTAATTTATGAAGAGAGAGAAAAAGAGAGTATAAAGACACTAATGACATTCTATTGAAGGAAAAAGAATAAAAGAACTAAGACAGAGCCCTTCATCACAGTTTTTGCACAACCAGTTCATCAGGCTGCAATAATACTGAATCAATAATACTGATCAATACTGATCAATAATACTGAAAAGTCTGGCCTTTTTAGACTATCGGTGAGCAAACGTAAACCAGGAGTCTCAGATCTTATTTCCATTGTCAAAGTCAAAACCAGATATAAGAGTATTAGTGAATTATCTGAAGTTAATCACCTTTTCCTCATTCACCCAAAATTAGTCTTGACTTAGAACAACTACTGTAAATTGACTTTTAAGTATGTGATTAAAAAAAAAAAAATGGCCTAGAGAGAAAACTAATTTCTTCCATTTCTATCCCTCACCCCACCTTACAGATTGAACAGGTTTTCACGATGATATATCAGTTTTTGTTTCCTTTCCGTGAAGATAATGAAA